TTGGATAGAACCGATGTATAAAAAATAGTTAGTCACCCTTTCTTCAATATAAACAAGGTGTTCCACAGGCATCAGTTTTAGGTTACCTGCTGTTTTCTCTTTATGTGAATAATTTGCCTTATGTGTGTGAAATGTGGACACAAGTATGTATGCTGATGACACAGTAATTTTGACAAAAGTGCACATGAAGCAGCCCATCAGCTTTCATTAGCCTTAAATGATTAACAAAAATGGCTGAATGATTCATACATGTGCCTAAATATTAAAACACTGCCTCAATGTTTTTTAGGAAACCTAAAGCAACCCTGGCCCCAGCAAAGGTTTGTTTGGGTAGACAAGAATTAATTCATGTTGAGGAAATTGGGAGTGTTAATAGACTCAAAATTATCTTTTTTGTTAATTTTAGACATCTTCATGCATCCTTAACAGATAGAGCAACAGTTACAGTGATACTGGCTCATACTGAACACTGTATCACAAGCTGGTTTTACACAAGTCATGCTTCTGTAAGGGCCATCGAAGGATGCTATAAATCACCATTGAAAGTACTAGACATGAAACCTTTGTCACATCATCACTGTCAAACTTTAGATAATGTAAGCTTTTAATTTTTCACAATTTTAGAATATTTAAATCAGCCTGTTTAATCTATAAGGGCCCCCACATTAAAAGATTTCATTCAACAACAGTCTGGCAGTACTGCTGGGTCCCGAGTAACGTGAGCCACTGAGCACCGCCTTTTCACAGATTGTCCTGTCAGGGAGTGGGTTCTGGAGTGGTATTCCACTCTCAATATGGGACAGCACGGGTCTTCCTACCCTTAAGAGTCGTCTAAAAGTGTGGCTCAGGGACACGCAAATGCGTGATCAAGTTTAGTCAATCATTTAATATCAAACATGAAACAGAATTAATGGATTTTACATAGGGAAAATGGATACTGATGCATACTGGGGAGTGCATTAAAAATCAGTGCTACTGTATGTCTAGTGCAATAGGCTTTACTGTAATATGGGTGTATGCAATATAGATTGGTGCAATTGGTATCAGTGCAATATCAGGAGAGTTATGGGTGGGATAAAACTTTGGTGTGTGCCATATAATAAAAGTGTTTCTATTTTTATATTTCCCATTGTGGTTTGTTTCCATTGTCTATTTGTATGCTGTCTGTATACTCTGTCTTTCTACTAACTTACAGTATGTGTAACATCAACCTGCCAGAGGTCTGCAGGTGGAAATTAGCAAAAGCTATAATCTGGCATATTTACGTTTGTGAAAATGTTCATTAATAGGCATTGTACCTTTTCTTTTTTTTTTTAAGGCAAGGCAGCTTTACTTCTGGAGCACATTTCAAACACAGAGGCAATTCAATGTTCTTTACAATCATCAGGACATGATATGAAAACACATAAAACACAAATTAAAATACACACAGGTAGAATTACAGTTTAGAGCTAAAGGAGAAGACAGTTAATCCCAGATTACAGAGGAGACGATGCAGCATAAAAAACCATTCATGTAAAGGCTGATGAGTACATGAGGGTTTTAGTTGTTTTAAACATCACTAGGGTTGGGGCACGTCTGAGGTCATTGGGAAGCTGATTCCATATGTGAGCAGCACAGTAGCTAAATGCATCTCCACCATGTTTGGTTCTGACCCGAGGTTCTACCAGCTGATTGTTTCCTAAGGATCTCAGAGCCCTGTTGGGTGTGTATACAGGAATGAGATCAGACATGTATTCTGGTCCCATGCCACTGAGTGATTTATAAACTAGTAGGAGCACTTTGAAATCTATTCTGTAGTTTACTGGTGTAAGGATCTAAGAACAGGAGTGATGTGCTCCATTCTCTTAGTTCTTGTTAAGACTCTAGCAGCAGCATAAATAAATTCAATTATTGTTGTGTGCGTGTGTGTGTGTGTGTGTGTGTGTGTGCGTGTGCGTGCGTGCGTGCGTGCGTGTGTGTGTGTGTGTGTGTGTGTGTGTGTGTGTGTGTGTACTTGTCTATACTTAAAAGTGAGGACCTGCAAACTGAGGACATTTTGTAGGTTCTCCCTTTGGTACATTGTCACAGAGCTCTACTCGTTAGTTTTAGAGGTATGTTTATGTACCGTAAATCCTCTAATACAGGCCCGGGCCTGTATTTGACTGAAGCTCATCAAGCTCCATGCCTTTATTGGAAGGAGGGCCAGTATTAGAGGCAGGCCTCTATTTCTATTTGAGCAAAATGAAGTAATGGTTCGCTGGAGTTTTTGACAATTAAAATTGCACCCACATTTTCAAAGTTAAACACATTTCTTTTAACAACGGTAGTTTCTGCTTCAGCCCTCTCCCCCCTCCCCCTGCGCAGCAGCCGCAAACTCACTGATGATCCTTCAGCCTCTCGGAGTTCCTGCTGCTCTAAACATTAAAATAATTATTTCATTTTCTGTTCCTCACTTCTGATAACCTTCAATGGTGTCTGTTTGTTGCAACCGCCAGGTACAAAAACTAACTTGTTTTTATTTGACTATTTTTCTGTCCTGCCTGTTTATTATCTTCCTGCATCTCCTCTCAATCCTAAAGAAAAACTGCTACCTGGGTTCATATATATTCACCTTATGAGTTACCTTTGAACTGCAGTTCTAAAAGATCTACCGACCGCAAAAACAGCGGAGTGCGCGCTGCTTGGTGGCCGCGTGATCGGTGCGTCACCGGATGACTAGGTGATGCGCCCTGCTCCACAGCCAAACGCATCAGGCGCAAATAAAAGACAGAAAACATCAAAGGAAATGAACCGACATGAACGATCGCGTGTTAAATGTGGCGACACCTGATTGTTACTGTGGCCGTGCTCAGGAGGCAGATCTACCGCCCGCAAAAACAGCGGAGTACTCCGTGCTTGGCGGGCGCATCAGTGATCGGTGCGTCACCAGAGGACAAGCCGATGTGCCCCGCTCCACAGCATGCAGCGAAACACATCAGGCTCAAATAAAAGACAGAAATCTTTAAAGGAAATGAACCGACATGAACGATCGCGTGTCAGTACCGACGCTCTGGCACAGCCTCCTCTTCGTCTCTGCACGGTTAAAGTTACCCTCGCGGTCTATCACTGGCAAATCAAAAGTGAGACGATGACACAACCGCCCCCCGTACTTGCTTGTTACCACATTCCACCCGGCCACAATAAGAGACCGGCCTTTATTCACCTCCGCCGACTCCGACACCGGCCAAAATTGGAGACCCGGCCTTTAATTGAATACCGGCCTGTATTAGAGGCTTTACGGTATATAGCCCATAGGTTCATTATAGATGAATTTCGATTAGAGATGCTTTATGGATGGTGTGAATTAGGTTTTAGTTTAGGTTAGGGTTAGGAGTAGACTGGTCATGGTTAGTTAGGCACGATCCAGTCACTAAAATGAATGGAAGTCTATGACCTTCCCCACAACAAATGCTAGACGAGAATGTGTGTGTGTGTGTGTGTGTGTGTGTGTGTGTGTGTGTGTGTGTGTGTGTGTGTGTGTGTGTGTGTGTGTGTGTGTGTGTGTGTGTGTGTGTGTGTGTGTGTGTGTGTGTGTGTGTGTGTGTGTTGGTGTGTGTGTGAGTGTGTGTGTGTGCGTGTGTGTGCGTGTGTTTGTGTGTGTGTGTGTGAGTGTGTGTGAGTGTGTTTGTGTGTGTGTGTGTGTGTGTGAGTATGTGTGTGTGTGTGTGTGTGTGTGTGTGTTTGTGTGTGTGTGTGTGTGTGTGAGTGTGTGTGTGTGTGTGTGTGTGTGTGTGTGTGTGTGTGTGTGTGTTTGTGTGTGAGTGTGTGTGTGTGTGAGTGTGTGTGAGTGTGTGCGCGCGTGCGTGTGTGTGTGTGTGTGTGTGTGTGTGTGTGTGTGTGTGTGTGTGTGTGTGTGTGTGTGTGTGTGTGTGTGTGTTGTGAGCTTCACCTCCATACTCCCACTCAGCCTCACCTCATCAGCAGCAGCTACCTCGTCTCTCACTAATTACCTCGTTACTTATGCAGCCCTACTCCTAGAACTCGTGTCAGGACTGCAACAACCTGCAAAACTTCTGCAGGATCCCAACTTTAGTCTGATTCTGCTGGCATGAAGATCATGAATCTGTTGATACTTTTAGTAGAAAAGGTGCTGAAGCCGCAGCTGAACTCAAGACCACCTCAGCCTTAATTTGTCTCAGAATCTGGTTTTACTGCAGACGTTGGTGTGAAAATAACTCCTAATTCTGCACAAACAGCCTCTTTTTGCAGCCAAATCAGTCATGATCTCTGCCACCTATACTTTAACATTGCACTCCAATATTGCAAACGAAACTGTGGAAAAGTTCTGGGAGCTGATTTGCATCTGTCAGATGGCTGAGTGATTACTCATTTTTGTTCCAAGCTCATGTATTGTCTAAATCTTCTCCACTTCAGTAAATCCCTGCAGCATCCGACGGATCGCTGCACCAGGAGCTTGTGGCATTAAACTCCTTCCTCCCACACAGCGACTGAGAGGGAAGAAGCCTTAACAGGGAGTAGGTGGGAATTTAACCTGCATCACGCATCCAGTCTGCTGCTGCTCATCCTCAGCAGCTTTCTTCTAAAAGACTCAGGATTCTCCTTTTCCTGACAATATCCTAGCTGATCACACACACACACCTGGAGCAGGTTTCGTCATTAGTAGTAGTGGGGGTATTGTTGTAATTTTCTCTGGCCCCCTGCCTGATTGGACCAGTGATGACATGTTTAGCCACATGCTGTCCTTCAACCACTGGTTGTCTAGGTGGTGTCCTGAAAACAAAATGGGCTACGTTGATAATTGGAAAACTTTTTGGGGAAAACCTGCTCTGATGCGAAGAGACGGCATCCATCTCTAGATCTTTGTTATAGGAACATGGCCAATTTTATTAGTCCTCCATGACATCATGGCTGCTTATACTGAGCCAGGATCCTCTGGAGGTTTCTTCCTGTTAAAAGGGAGTTTTCCTCTCCACTGTCACTGCATGTTTGCTTAGTATGAGGATTGCTGTAAAGACTCTGGCTGTGTCCGAATCCAGGGGTAGGATGCTTGTGAGTACGGGTCCTCGCCGGTCTAGCAAGACCGGGTCCTTGCTAGACCGCTAAAACCGGAAGTCAGCGGCTCTGAATTCGGACAGTACTAGCCTCGTTTTTATTCCCGCCCCCAGGTCCAGTTGCTTAGCTACCGTGACGGCGTCAAACAGGCTAACAAGCTAACAAGCTAGTCAGAGGTGAAAATGGATCCACAGCAGTATTCCCTTTTATTTTTGGTTTTTGAGGAGCTGCGACTGCTTAGTAAACGTCACCGGCCTTTGTATTTAAGGCTGAGAAGCAGCCATATCCAGGTAAAATTATGTTTTGTTTAGTGAACCAGCTTTCAGGCATTACATGTTAACTTTAGTGCTAGTTTCATTTATATTTTAAGCAACAGAAAGACATGTGGCTGAATATACACATTAGTATAGAGTAGACTAACATGCATATAGTTAATTTAACCTATATTCATCTAAAATAATTAATGGAATGACATTTTAGAAGTTTGTATTTGATCATAATGCTTGGTTCTGTGCATAAATTTCATAGTAAAAGTAGCATTACAATGTGTTTAATGTGTATTGTCCTTTTCAACTTATGCCTAATAATGCCTAGCTCTCTTCTAAAAATCTCAAGCATTTCTACAGGTTTTTTTTAATTGTTTTATTGTTCTCTACTTTTCTTTTAACAGAACAGACCCCTGTACTGTAGGATAAACATGAGTGTGCCAGTCCTGGACCGTTTTTTTTAACCAGGAAGATCCCAGGCCAGATTTTCGTCTGAGTAGGGAGTCTTTTGTGGTGTTGCTAAATCTCCTGAACCAAGATCGGCGACATGGTTGGGGTGCCACAATCGAGACCCTGGTGTTTCTGTTCTGGTTGGCAAGTGGAACATCCTACAGGGTGGTCTCAAGAGTATTTGGGATGCCTCGCTCAACTGTCCACGACATCGTCCATCGAGTCACGGAGGATGTGGTCGCAATCCTCCACCAGGTCATTCACCTCCCCAAAACCCCAGAGGAGATGGAGGTTGTGTCTCGTGGGTTTGCTGGGCTGGCTCGACACAGAGCTTTCATGAAAGCAGCAGGTGCGATCGACGGCTGTCACATTCGGATCAAGGCTCCGAGCGGTCCTGATGGTCAGTGCTACAGAAACAGGAAACTGTTCCCATCTATCATCCTGCAGGCAGTTTGTGACCATCAGGGCCGCTTTATCGACACCTATGTGGGCTGGCCTGGGTCGGTCCACGACTCCAGGGTCCTCCGGCACAGCCCACTGTACAGGCAGTCAGCCTTTCCTCCTCCAGGGCACTTCATCCTCGCGGATGGAGGGTACCCATGCCTCCAACATCCACTCCCCCTCATCACCTCCTACAAACGGGTGGTTCAAGGTGTGGGAGCCCAGCGCTTCAACAGCCATCATTCCAGGGCACGCTGCATCATCGAGCGTGCTTTTGGAATGATGAAGACCAGGTTCTGGACCATCTTCCTGAAAGCGCTGGAGGTCCACCACACCTTTGTACCTCATGTAAGTTAACACAAAGTGGAAATAAACTTTGGGTGTAATCTTTGTTTGGGAATGAAATATAAATTAAATTTTTATCTCTATTACAGGTCATCACAGCATGCACCATCCTGCACAACATCTGCCTCAGTGCTGGTGACATTGTGGTGCAGGACGATGAACTGGAGGATGATGCTCCAGAAGATGAGGGGGAGGCTGGTTTGGAGGCAGTCAGTGGTGACCTCTGGCGGGACCAACTTTCTGCTGAGGTGTCTGCTCTGGAGGAAGTACCACCAGATCACAATTACTGTTAACAGGCAAGTAATTTACGTAGGAATCTCTAGTTTAAAAATCATTTAGTCCTGTTATCTGCTAGAGTTACAAGTATTATACTCATGATCTCCTTTTTTGCATATATCTGAATGTTAGTGATGTGACAGCCGTTGATTGAGCCAGCCCAGCAAACCCTTTTGATGGACGATGCAGTGGACAGTGAGATGACGCATCCAGACGCAACCTCTGCAGACCACTCTGTCTGATGTTCCACTTGCCAACCAGAAACGTTCAGCCACGGATCTCGGTTCCTGCACTTCATCCACCTCGATGATCCATGTTTAGTAGATTTAGCAACACCACCAAAGACTCCATGCTTTCCAAGTTTACTGTATATATTTTACTTTTATCTTTACTTTTATTCCTTACAGTGTTCCCTTACCATTTATTTACTATGTTGTTACTTGTTGAAAACTGAATAATAAAACTGTTAATGATCAAAAAAGAGTTATCAATTAATAGAAATTTTATTACATTTAAACAAATAACAAAAACATTCAAACACATTTATAGAACCTGAACCAGAAGAAACTAAAAGAAAAAAAAACCCATTTCTCTGCCATCCTTTCCATCAATGCTAAAAATCTGTCCATCCTTCTTTCTCTCCTCTCCTCCGCTTCCCTCTGTTGTCTCATGTCCTCCCTGATCAGGTCAAGGAGCTCATCAGCCCTTCTCCTTTTTCTCCCTGATGAGGACTCCGGCTTCCTTCCACCACTCTCCCTGTCCTCTGTCTCACCCACTGCTGCACTTGGCCCTGGAGTGTCCTCGGGAATGGAAGCAATAAGGACAGGAGGCATAGTGGAAGGCCTCTGTCCCAACACCTCGTCCATGGGGACAAACCAGGGCCAGGTTTCAGCAGTGGGCTTTCCGCTGACTCCCTCTCCTGACCCTGGATTCTTGCAGTCCTACAGACAAAGGGAATTGGAATTACAAGGCTTTATTGTCATTTAACAACAGAGAACACTGTGGGCATAATGAAATTACAGATGCTCCTTAAAGGTACTGGCTCTGGATGAGAATAGAGAGGAATAGAAGAACAAAGTCAGATTATAAATCATAGTTGATAAAACATGCAATAAACAATATTTTAATTTATCAACATGGGAGATGAAAATTGTGTTCTGTGTTTTTTTCCGCCTAAAATGAAATTAAAAACATTAAATCAGTAATGTGGTTTCTTAAAAATTAACTTAAATAAACATTAAACTTAGTTTTCGTTATTTTTGTCGTTCGTTACATGATTACATAAGATGCAAGCTCTTTTACGGTGAGGTTTTTCCTATTAGACTTTCAAGCAAGTTTACGGTGGGGTGTTAACCTTAAAACAAATGATGAGAAGCTTTATTCGCTAAATAAACACACACACACACACACACACGGGAATTATGACGGGACCACCATACAAGCTCGTTCTTGCTGATTTCTGCTTAAAAACGAAAAATGTCTATAAACAGAACCGCTTTCAGCTTAGTTTTCTATCGCTATTTTCTTTTTAAAAGCCTGCTGGGATCAAGCTAGTTTACGGTGGGTTTTTTCCTATTAAACATTCAAGCTGGTTTTCGGTAGGGCATGTTTTAGCCTTAAATTACATGAAAAAAACAATTTGCGGTATTAGATCGTATATAAAAAACAAACAAAAAGTGCCCAAACACGTATTTTATTTTTTTGACCGCTATTTTTTTAACTAACTTACATTTTAAGCTGTACTGCTGTCCCGCTCCGTCCGCCGTTGTTGCGAGTGTCGAGTCCAGCGGCCGGCGTGCAAAGCATGCTGGGATACCCTTGCTCCTGTGAGGATCCATCAGACCCATCCTCGAAATGTGGGTGGAGCGAGGACGCGTTTGAGGATGCGAGAATGAGGATTCTTGGAATTCGGACAGTACTCGTCGCTGCGCTTTGACGTCATCGACCTCAAAATGCGCACTCACAAGCATCCTACCCGTGGATTCGGACACAGCCACTGACACTACAGTGACTCGATGCAACCTGCTGGGTTCCTTATATGGGAAACTTTTTTCTGATTGGCTTAATAAACTGACCTGTATTGTTTACTGTGTGAAGGTCCTTGAGACGATTCTGGTCCTGATTTGGCGCTTAATAAATAACCTATAATTGGATTGAACTGAACTGAACTGAACTGAATTGAATCGAATAGAATCAAATTGAATTGAATTGAATTGAATTGAATTGAACTGAATTGAACTGAACTGAAATTAAATGAAATGAACTGAATTGAATTGAAGTGAACTGAATTGAACTGAACTGAACTGAAATTAAATGAAATGAACTGAATTGAATTGAAGTGAACTGAATTGAACTGAACTGAACTAAAATGAAATGAAATGACCTGAATTGAATTGAAGTGAACTGAATTTAACTGAACTGAACTGAATAGATTTGATTTGATTGATTTGAATTGAACATAATTGAACTGAAATGAACTGAGTTGAATTGAATTGAATTGAAATGAATCTAACTGAACTGAAATTAATTGTTGTATGCACTAGTATTACCATCACAGCAGTAGGCTCACCTTCATTCTGATTAAATATTTGTGAACAGAACCTGAACTTCTGGATGAAACTTTGGGATATTTTTAAAGAACAGAAAGAGATTTTATTGGAATTTATTCACAATAAAACTTTCCAGACTCAAGCAGCTCAAATCTGTTCCTGCTTATTCACCTCCTGGTTACCTGTGCCTCACACCTGTGCTCCATCTATAATCACTCACTTGCAACCACTCAGGTAACCCACCTGCCCAGTGTTTAGCTTCTTCAGCTCCTTTTTTCTGGTCCTCCTGTTGCTCAGCTGTCGTGTCGGACCTGCTCCTCATCAATAAAAGGATTCTAGATGTTTCCGGTCTGCCTGCACCTGGCCCATTGAACACCTTTGAACTCAGAGCTGGAAGCAAAAACTCTCTTCAGCTCTTTTAGTGACAGAAATCATGAAGATTCAGGCTTGATGATCTGATCTGAATCAAAACTATTTAAAGGAAAGTTCTAGAACCACAGAGGAAGCTGGGGGAAGCCTGAGCCAATCAGAGAGCTACGTTTTCCCACCTTGGTTGGAGAAAATGGAGGAAAGACTGAATATTAAACCTCAGATAGTGGAAACCCATATGAACAAGTCCCTAAGATCTGTTGAGTAGGAGGTTCTGGTGGTGATGAGCAGATGTCCTATAAAACTGGTCAAAAGGATCCGTTAGCGTTAGGAACATCAGCTGGTCCAGACAGGAAGTCTAGAAAGTTCCACCACTAAAACCTTCAGGAAGAGTCAGTCCAAACGAAACCGATCAGGAAGACAAAGATGGATTCCTCCAACAGGATGTCTTCATGCACCAACACCTCCCAGGTCTGATTCCAGCAGATGGTTGGTGTGGAAGTCCCCAGAATAAATTCAAGTTTCCTTATTATGACTTAGTAGGATAAACCAGTATCATCTGGCTGTAAACTGGAGCTCCTGGTCTGGTTCCTCAGTGAGAACAGACCTTGGTTCTGGTGGAGTGGGCTTAAACTCATGTTGACGTGTTTCTGGCCATAACATCATCAGATGGTTTGGGTATGAATCACATATTAAAAAGAATAAAACTCTGAATCTAATTCTTGATTATGTAGCGTCATGGATGTCTTGTTTTTGACCTAAAGGTCATGATCTGCTGCGTCTGCTCGAGCAGAGACATAAAGGCTCTGACAGCCTAATCTACATGAGATAGTGGCCAAGGTCTCTCATGCACTCTGCTCATCTGAACTGCTTTACCAAGTGAAGACAAGAACTATTCTGATAAATACATAATCAACAACTTTGTTATTACCAATAATAATGTGAGCCCAATGTTTAATCAATCTATGAAATGACAATGTTATTACTTGATATTATAATTCTGTGATCAGTAGTATTTTACAAGTTATTATAATCTTGGACATTTGCGCTAGACACGTGATGACACAGAGTAATGCTAAAGTCACACGACACATTTCCTTTTGTCTGATCCAATCAGAGCCTTCGTTTCTTGTGTGAGGCGTGGTTTTCTGTGGTGTTTGTATAAACCTTCTTTTGCATGTCAAATTCTGATTCGCCAGTAAACCAAAATATGACAATCATAAAAACTATTCCACGCCACCTTTAGTTCAGTTCAAAGCGTTCTAGAGTTGTCTCGGACAGGCCATCTGGACTCCTTCTTCTGTCATGGTCTGCGTCTGCGTCTCCGCTCATGTGTCTCCTTGTGTTCTCTATTCGTCTCTAGGTTCTCCTGTTGTGTATCCTAGCGCCCTCTTGTGTCATTGTCTAAGTCTTCCTCATGTGTTCCCAGAGTTGCAGAGTTTTTGGCTTACCTGCCCTTTGGATTAATTTTTGTTTTGGTTCATCCTTAATAAAGGATTTTCTTAATCTCCACTCCTGCCTCGTGTCATCCTGGGTTCTGCATTTTGGGTCCTAACCTCCTCCTGGCTCACATCGTGACATCTTCAGCCATAAAGAACCTCGACAAGCTGGATAAAATCTGTTGCAAGTTACACCTGACCGCAACGGTTCCTTCAGAATAAAAGCTGAACCTCATAACCCCTTCAGGGTCTCGGAGACACCAGTGATAACCTGTCATGACCTGGAAGCATTCCAAGACTAGTTTGGTCGGCACCACTGCTTTTCTACCGGCTTCGGTACCAAAGAGGGTCCACGAGGACCTCGGCATTCTGGATCTAACGGAGGCTTCCCCTGGGGTACGTAGACCGACAGATGGTGTTTCATGTGTGTTATAAATCTCCAACTAAAGTTTAGAGCGAAACATTCACTCCCACTCATGACTAACCGCTTCTCCGGATCCACTGGTTCTGAATAACATTCCACACACACACACTCCATCATTCATCACTTCTCACTCCACCTTAGATCCATCAGTACACAGAGTGTTTAAGTTAGTTTTGTTTAAATTGTGTAGAAATACATTTCTTAACTATTTTAAACCTGACTCTCTCTCTTTCCTGTGAGTTTATACGAAGTGTGGCTTAATCCCTGCAATAAAAAGTTCTGATCTTCTGGTTAAAATAGTCAAAGATCCATCAGATTGATATTTCATATTTCTATGGAATCTCACATTTTATGGTTCATAAAATAAGATGTAAACGAC